CACCTGTAAGTACTCACAGGCCATTCCTGGCTCTCTGCTCAGAATTAACCGCTGGCAGTATTTGGGGGACCCTCCCTGGTACAGGGGATTTGAACCAGGGTCGCTGGGATGCAAGCCAGGTGCCTCAACCCCTATACAAGTTCTCTGTCCCACACCTTTATTTGTTTGTTTTGGGCCATACCTGGCTGTGCTCAGGGATCACTCCTGTCAGTGCTTGGGGGACCATATGGAGTGCTGAGATCAAACCTGGGTCTGTGACATGCAGGGTAAGTGCCCTTACCCACTGTACTATCTCTCTGACCCCACAACTTAATTTTTTTAAAGTAATTAAGAGCATATTTTTAAAGAGCACAAACAAAAATGGATTTGATCCAGCTCTAACCAAATTCTATCTGCGCGATTACCAAAAAAATTAATTTCTATAAAATGAAGATAACAAAATTACCTAGACTGGAACAGGAGTAATAGTACAGTGGGTAGGGCATATGACATGCAAGCAGTCAACCCAGGATCAATTCTGGCACCCCATACAGTCCTCAAGCCCCGCCAGGAGTGAACCCTGAGTCTTGAGCACTGCAAGGTGAGATCCAAAATCAAACAAAATAAGAATAAAATTAAATCATCTAGATAACTGCAGGGTACATCATGAGACATAGAGTAAATAGGATTTCAAAAAATATATGTGTAAAAGGCAAGATTAAAATAAAACCACATAGCTTACTGCCACTATATGTCTCTTCAGCTGGACCCAACTCAACAAAGCAAACTGTACCTATTCAATTTTCATTATAATAAGCTTTATTCATGACAGTAGCCAAACTCATGTCCATTTGCTTATGTTTCAACTTTGCCCCTCTTTCCTCATTTCCAATCACCCCACAGAGAATAGGGCTGTCAGGTATGAAGTTTTCTGTTTTTCTGCAGTTACTTTCATCTGTTTGGGTTTTCCCCTGGGTTATGGGCCTCAGCGGGCGGAGTTCAGGGCTTACTCCTAGCTCTGTGCTGCAGGATTGCTCCTAGTGGAGTTCAGGGGACCATTTTTGGTGTCGAGGATCAAACCAGGGTTGGCTGCAAGCAAGGTGAGCACCTTACCCCTGTACTATCTCTCAGGCCCACTTTCATCTGTCCTAGAAAATGTATTCTACCTATGACAAATATAGCTAAGACTTTTTAGTGGCTTCATACCATAATGATACATTTTTATCCTCCCAAATCTTCCACAAGCACTCATTCTCTTTAATTTATGTCCAAGTGTCTACCTTAAAAAAACAAACAAAAAAATCAACCAAACAAACAAAAAACCCAAACACCAAAACACTATCTTGACTCAAAAGCAATCTCCTCCACACCACCATCCCCATCTGTTCTTGGCCAGCTTGCTCTGAAGATAGATCTCTGGTCCATTAATATGTTTTCATTTACTAGTGAGGCTTTGCCCAAGGTTTGACTTTCATCACCTCTGTCCCCAATCTACCACAAATTTCCTAATGAAGACTACGAATGCAAACGTAACTGTTAAATGTCCTGTCCTGTCCTCCCGTTGTTCATTGATTTGCTCGAGCAAATAGGTAGCTTGCCAGGCTCTGCCGTGAGGGCGAGATACTCTCAGTAGCTTGCTGGGCTCTCCGAGAGGGGCGGAGGAATCGAACTTGGGTTGGCCATGTTGGCTGCGTGCAAGGCAAACGCCCTACTGCTGTGCTATCGCTCCAGCCTGTCAAATGTAATGAAATTTTTAAAAATTCTTCTCTGACTGGATCTTCTTGGGAGTAACTGATAGAATTGAATCCACTGAAGTGCACGTGTGTGTGTGTGTGTGTGTGTGTGTTGTGTGTTTGTAGGGGTAGGAGGAAGCGTGGGGGGTATATCTCCTGCTATTCTCCCCTAAGTTGTTTTGTTGGGCTCCTCTAAAATATCGTTTCCTCCAGGATTTTGTCCTGGGCTCATTTTATTTCACTACATACAGTCTTTCAAGGACACACTTCTAGCTTCAACTGCTACCTGTCATTACATGACCTACTATTTCCACGCCAGACTCCCCACAAACTCTAGACCTGTATTTCTAAAACCGTGTATCAGATATCTTAACTTATATAGGGAACTCAATCCTCCCTGTCTGAAACAATCTTTTTTCATTTGTTTGTTTTGGGGGCCACACTCACTGGTGTTCAGGGATCACTCCTGGAGGATTTGGGGGACCATATGGGGTGCTGGGGATTGAACCCAGGTATAAAAAAGAAGTGCCTTACCCGCTATACTATCCTTCTGTTTTGTGAAACAGAATCATTGTAAGCCTATCTTTGTCTGGTACAAAATATACAGTCAAGCAAATTCTGTTCATTTTCACCATTCTTATTATTATCCATAACACCATATGTTTTCTCCCTTTACTGACGTTATTTTGGTTCAAGACCTTATAATTTTTAATAGGTAACTAAATTTTATCTTTCTATTTATAGTTTTCAATCTTATCATAGTTATGTGTGTACATGTTTTTTAGTTCTTTTTTTTTTAAATTTATTTATTGAATCACTGTGGGAAAGGTTACAAAGCTTTCAGGTTTATGTCTCAGTCATGCAAATATCAAACACATTTCCCTTTACCAATACTTATTTATGTTTTTTAGTTCTAAGGGTTAGCAAAAACATCAACAGTCCTCTGCCATCTTTCCCTGATATAACATACACCCCCCCTCTTTAACTCACTGTGTTGATATTTACTTCCCTATTGTTAAAAACCTTTCCTATGTTGCTACTTCTTGATTTTTCAGTTCGAACACATCTAATGATTTTCTATTACATTCATTCACCCAACAAAGATCAAGTGCTCATTTATGCGAAGCACTGTTCTTCATGACTGAGGTATAATAAACAGACAGCCTAACAACATATCTGGGGAAAGAGAAATTGACAAATAGAAATTAGATTATTGTGTAACTCATTATGCAACAGGCTCACTCCTAGCATGGTAAGATATCCTCCTGTGTCCTAGTGGAGACATTCCTAGCAGAAGGAGCACATTCCATACTACGATACTGGGTAGGCTGCGGTTCACAGCGAGGGTCTCATTTTGACTGTAGATGTCTTCCTCTTCTGCATCTTATCAGTCTGACTCATTTAAATGTCACCTATCAGATTTAGTGGCCGGAGCGAGCTCACTACATGAAACAGAAGAGCTCTCGAGCAAGGGGCTGGAGCGTTTAAATTATGTTCGAAGGAGGAGTTAAAAAAATTTTTTTTCTTGTTCTATTTTGAGGCCACACCCTGCAGCGCTCAGGATTTACTCCTTGCTCTGTGGTCAGGGATTGGGGATTTGGAGTGGACTCAGGGTCCATGTGGTATGCCAGGGATCAAACCCTGGTCGGCTGGCACAAGGCAAATGCTCTATCTGCTGTACTGCTGTTCTGGAACCATTGGACTTGGGTAATTTGAAAGGAACTGGCTCTATCAATCTCAAGGTCAATTATAAATGACTTATTAAATCCAAACTTAGTGTTTGAAGGGTTAAGAGTGACCAGCTGGTGGGATGGGAGGTGATTTAGCTGGCAGAGCACATACCTCATGTGTGTGAGGTCCTCGGTTAGATCCTTGGTACCACAACAGTAAAGAACTAGGATCTCCAGGAAGGGAAAACTCCCTATATCAGAATTAAGCCTTCAATATATCAATGGTTTGTAAATGAAGTTTAGAAATGTTTGAACACGACTGCCTTATATAAGGCAATTTTAATGTAGCAGATCTTCCTTTATTTTCCTAATAATAAAATGTAAATTTTATTGCTATATTAAAATTTTATGTTTATACTATATGATTACTTTTATGCACCATCATTGTATAAAAACAACTATTATTTTAAATCTCTTTACTTATTCAATTATTTCAAGGAACAGTGAGGTAAAAAGATGTTTCACAATTTAGTCCTCAAAAAAAGTACCCAGGTGGGGCTGGAGAGATAGTACAAAAGGTAAGGCACTTGCCTTGCTACCCAGCTAACCTGGGGTTTGATCTCCATCATCCCATATGGTCCCCAAAGCACCTCCAGGAGTAATTTCTGAGTGCAGAGCCAGGAGTAACCCCTGAGCATCGCTGGATGATGCCTCCAAATAAAACAAAAACAATTTACCCAGAATCACAATTTGTTTATTAGTGTTTTCCTTCCTTTCTTTATTTCTTTTTTTGGGTAGTGATGGAGAAAGAGACCATATCCAGCGGTGCTAGTGGTTATTCCTGGTTCTATGCCTGGGAGTGAGGCCTGCACTGCTCTGAAAACCAATGTGGTGCTATGGATCAGAACCAGGGTTGTGGTCACTGCAGCTGCATACAAAATAACTGATTTATCTGTTATCTCTCTAGTCCCTGTTAGTATTTTTCTTAACACAAACACGTTAACTGCTTAATTTTCTGGCCCAGTTGTAAAAGCTGTACTGTGAGCGAGCTATACACTCTGGGAACATTTTATAAATAATTCATTTGGAATATTTTGTGTCTTGTCATTTTTTTCCCCAAGAATAATTTGGTTTCAAATACTGGAGAAGAATTACCAAAACATTCAGTAGAAGTGTTTCATGGTTCCTAATTACTTTTCCAAACAATGATGCAACATTTTCCTGAAAGGCAATCTCAAAATCTCGGTGAAAACCTATTAAATCGTGGGACAATGACACAAACTTATCCTAGACCAAAGGCTGCCTTCTGGAAAAATAAACTAGGGTCATTTTCTGTTATAGAGTAAAACACCTTCTCAGCACTGCAGGACTGAAAAGTATAGAGAGTTCTTTCTTTGAGCCATAGTGGTGCTCTGGGGGTGGCTCCCGGTGGTGCTCAGGGCATTGTCTAGTGAAAGATCTGGGCCTCTGAACCAACCTTTCCTGCCTAATTATCCTGGGCCCTCTGAGCTGTCTCCTCGGCCTAATTATTCTACTTAAAAAAGTTGTTTCAAGGACAGAAAGCTGATTCAGTGACGATTAACATATTCTGAAGTAACAGAGAATAAAAATTAGTTACCTAATCAAGTAGCAACAGAAGAGTAAACTAAGGATGAAGACAAATATAGCAGTCCCAAAAACCACAATATATATGTTGAGAGGCAAATTCTGGAATCCAATGTTAGGCATCCTGAAGTTGTAATGTGGAAAATCCGAGCTCATGGATGAACTGTAGAGGAAGAAAAAAAGATGGGGAAAAAAAATTAGGCATTAAGACTAAGAAGCAATATATATGTATATATGTGAACATTTTCTAAGACTCGGCCCCACTGGAAACAAAAACAGTACACAAAGGGTTAACATGACTGTCATTTTATTATGCCCAAACAGGTGAATGCTTTGTTTTGCAAATGCTAGGACTTGAATTCGAAGCCTTATACCTCTGGGTCTCCAGAGCACTGCCAGGGTGGCCCTGCTTGTCCTTGGCTCAGCTCTGTAGCCCCAGACCTTTGCATCACCAAGAGGCCATACCCCACGAAGATTTAGCAAGCATTTATTATTATTATTATTATTATTATTATTTTTTTGCAGTGGAAGATGTTGAGTCACACCTGGCAATGCTCAAGGGTTACTCGTGGCTCTGCACTCACAAATTGTGCCTGGCAGTAATTGGGGGACATCTGGGGTGCCAGGGATCAAACCTGGGTTGGCTGGAGTAAACCCTGAGCACAGCCAGATATGGCCCAAAACCCACTCTCCCCCCAAAAAAACCCAAAATGAAATTCACCCCTTCTAGATTCATCCCTCCAAGATTCAAAAATTAAATGTTAGAAATAACATATCTCACAAGAAAGGTAACAAAAAATTACATGGTTATGTATATTACAAAATAAGGTTTTGAAAATGCTTTCGAGAAAACGTTAAAGTTGGGAGAAACGTAAAAGGTATGTGCTAAAAAGCAGGAGTAAACTATAAAAATATAATCTCAATTTTGTAAACAATTGGAAAAAATATGTATATATACGTGTATGTATGTGCAGAAAATAGTTTATTTACCAAAACATTAACTTTATGGCTTGTGATATACTAGTCATTTTGATTTTCTTCTTTCTCTAATTCCCTTTATTAAGCCAGTTACTAGCATTTTACTGTAAATTGGTAATTTACAGTAAAAGTACTAGCAATTTACAGTAAAGGTGCTAGCAATTTACAGTAAAATTAAGCATTTTACTGACATTATTTTATATAATCTTCATATAAAACTTCATAGGGAAGTGCCAGAATTGCTCTCAATTTTACAGAGAAGAAACCAATGCTTAGTGTTTTGAACACATAGCTATGACTTAGCAAATATGTTTAGCTCCATAGCTAGTGGTCTCTGCCTATATGTGCTATAGTCTTCCTAATGTGGCCTTTTCTTTTACTTATCTTTTTATTTTTTGGTTTTTGGGCCATTCCCAGCAGTGCACAGGGCTTACTACTGGTTCTGTGCTCAGGGATCACTCCTGGTTGGTTGGGTCTGAAGACTCATATGAGGTGCAGGGGCTTGAACCTGGGTAGTGGGCCACCCACTACCTCTTACCAAAAAACAGCAAACACTGTTTGGGATGTGGATCAGTGGTAGAGTGCCTGCCTAGCTAAACTAAGGTCGTGAGTTTGATTCCTGGCACGGGCTGCATGCCTGAATGTGTTCCCAGTGGCTCTGCTGTTGGGGATTCCAGGTGCCACGATGGAATGTATAATTTTTTTTTTTTTTTTGCTTTTTGAGTCACATCTGGTGATACTCAGGGGTTACTCCTGGCTCTGCACCCAGGAATCACTCCTGGTGGTGCTTGGGTGACCATAGAGGATGCCAGGGATCAAACGCAGGTTGATCGCATTCGGAACAAACGCTCTACCCGCCGTACTATCACTCCGGCCCCTATAGAGTGTATAATTTTTCACGCAATACAACCAAGTGTGTGAGGACCACAATGAAGGAGTACAACTCTCAGTGAGCACCACAACCAAGGCTGGAATACCCCGGTCACTACAGCAGCAGCAGCAAAGGAAAGGTGGAAAAGCAACAACCTTCCCGGGCCCTGCTCAAAAACACTGTTCAAACATTCAAAAATATATATTTTGATTTGACTGATAATATTGATCACTGCATAATTGAAACGGCATAAATGGGAGTTGCGTCTTGTCCTTTAGGGGATACGTGACTGTGATAAAATGATTCACCAAGACTTCTTGCTAAATCTCTCATCATTTTGATTCCTTTCAAAAGAAAGAGCCTAAACTTTTTTTTTAAATCACAGAGGTCAATATCGTACATTAAACACAAATTAGCTCTTACTGATTTATTTTCTGATCATTCTATTTACCATTTCCTAAAGTTCTGTTGGAATATGTAATATAGAGAAAACTTGTTATGTGTCTAAGCGGGTAGGTTAGGATGGGGGGGAAACTGGGGATACCGATGGAGTGAAGGTCACACTGGTGGTGTTGGAACACTAAATGCTTGAAACAACTGTATAATGAGCAACTTTGTAAATCACGGTGCTTTAAACAAAAATTAATTAAAAAAAAAGAAAGAAGGAAAGAAAGAGCTATTGCCAGATCACACACTGGTTACTGAACTGCACATCTGACTACTGCCAGATCAAAATGAAGTAAAACCTACCAAGCAAACAACAGATCCTATTTATATCAAGTGTGTGAAAAGTGTGTTTACAGATCTTTGGAGTGCTACTGGTCCGAAGAAGTATAAATTTAGAATCTAGACACCACTGAGATGCGGACTAGTTATATTTGAAGCCTATGGGCTTATTACTTTTATTTCTAACTTTGAATACTTTACACAGAAGTCAACAGTTGCTAATACCATCTTTACCCCAAAGAAGCTCCTGGCTCTGCATTCAGAAATGACGCTGGGAGGTGCTGGGAATGGAACCAGGGCCAGCAAGAGGCATGCAAGGCAAGTGCCTTAACACTGGTACTATCTCTCTGGCTGTGTTTTCTTTTTCTTTTTAAATGCTTTTTTTTATTGTATAAAGTAGTTTACAGTATTTGACTACATTTAATATTCAAACACCAATCCCACCACCATTACACCTTCCCACCACTATATTTCCGATGTTTCCATCCCGACCCCCATTAACTTTATGGCTTGTGATAATATACTTTTTGTTGCTTGTTGTGAAAAACTGCTGAAAATGCTACAGAAAAGTATCTTTAGAGGAAAGAGTGTGAAGATTGTTATATTTCACCTAGGGGCAATTAAGCCCTTCTATAAGAGATCACTAACATGTTAAAGGTTGAGTCTTGTATACTTTTATATATATATGTGTGTGTATACACATATATAAAATCTGTAAAAAAATATTTCCATCTAAGATTGAATGCCTATTACTTTGAATCCCATCAAATGTGGTGTGGTGCTCTTAAGAGTATGGGTAGGACAAGAAGAAAACATCCAACCCCATCAAAAAATAGGGCGATGAAATGAACAGAAACTTTCTCAAAGAAGAAATCCGAATGGCAAAAAGGCACATGAGAAAATGCTCCACATCATTAATCATCAGGGAGATGCAGATCAAAACCACAATGAGATACCATCTCACACCTCAGAGACTGGCCCACATCCAAAAGAACAAAAGCAACTAATGCTGGCGCGGATGTGGCGAGAAAGAGACCCTCCTTCACTGCTGGTGGGAATGCCGACTGGTTCAGCCCTTTTGGAAAACAGTATGGACGATTCTCTAAAAATTAGAAATTGAGCTCCCATTTGACCCAGCAATACCACTCCTGGGAGAGTGGTAAAAAAGTATAGTTGAACTGACATCTGCACTTGTTTGTTCATTGCAGCACTCTTTACAATAGCCAGAATCTGGAAAAAACCTGAGTGCCCGAGAACAGATGACTGGTTAAAGAAACTCTGGTACATTTACACAATGGAGTACTATGTAGCGGTTAGAAAAGATGAAGTCATGAAATTTACATTCAAGTGGTACTACATGGAAAGTATTACATTCAAGTGGTACTACATGGAAAGTATCATGTTAATTGAAATGAATCAGAAAGAGAGGGATAGACATAGAAAGATTGCATTTATCTGGGGAACATAAAGTAACAAAATAGGAGACTAACACCCAAGAGTGGCTGAGATTTGTACCAGGAATTTTGCTCCATGGCTTGGAGACCAGCCACACATGTTAGGGGAAAAGGGAGCTCAGACAGAGAAGGGAGCACCAAATAAAGGGTGTTGGGAGGATCCTCCCAGGATGGGAGAAGCATGGGAGATGCATGCTGAAAGTAGACTATAGACCAAACATGATTGCCACTCAATGCCTCTTTAGCAAACCATAACACCCAAAAGGAGAGAGAGAAAACAAAGGGGAATGCCCTGCCACAGAGGCCACAGAGGCAGGGTGGGATGAGAGGGATGGGAGGTGGGAGGGATACTGGGATCGGTGGTGGTGGGAGGGATACTGGGATTGGTGGTGGTGGGAAATGGGCACTGGTGGAGGGATAGGTATTTGATCATTGCATAATTGAAACCCAAGCACAAAATTTTTAAGTCTACAATTGTACCTCGTGGTGTCTCACTAATAAAAATTAAAAAAAAAAGTATGGGTAGGGTGTGTCCTATGAACTGTCTCGGTCCAGGAATAGGTTCACTCGTGGGTGAGGCTCAGCCTGAGTGTGTGGAGAGCGGCCGTGAGCATGGCAGCAATTGGGTTCTGGAGGTTTTCGGCTGCCCAGGCTGGGTCCCTTGGGGCGGGGAGGGCTCTCACCCACCCTCCTCTGGGGTGCCCCAAGTGAAACATCTGGCTGTTTTCACTCAAAAGGTAATTTGCTTTTTCCCTAAAATCAAGGATAGGAGTTAATTTAAGTATAGGAGAATTTTATCACATATATCTAGTACATGTGAAGCTTTAAGAAAATTACAGTTTCAGGGGGCAGAGTAATAGTACATGGGTAGAGGGCACTTGTCTTGCACATAACTGATTTGGGTTCAATCCCTGGCACTACACGTGGTCCCCTGAACCCCACCAGGAGTGATCCCTGAGTGAAGAGCCAGGAGTAAGCCCTGAGCATCACCAGATGTGGCCAAGGCACACTCTCCCCGCCCCCCCCCAAAAAAAAAAAACTGAAAAGAAAATTACAGCTTCACACTCAGATCTTCACTTTCATGTTGCTGATAAGGCCTCATGGATACCCTTGTGGGAGTCACACTTTAGGTTA